TCATACTATGATCAAGGTTTAGTGTCTTACTCCCCACCCTTGGTATATTCATTTTTGTAATGTTTTGGTACTCATTGTTGAGGTTTGTTATATAGGTGAGAATTGACGATCCATTGGAATTCCCATTGGCACTGGATCATCTGCTGAACTTGGAGAAGACATTTAAGGTGAAGTGGCAGCCGCGATGGAACGATTGCTCTGTTGTGAGGATCCTTAGGGATGATCCTTTTATCATGAAGCTTAAGGCTCCATGGACATAGACGAGGTATAATCTATTTTAACATGTTTTTGGTATTTTAGGTTGTTTGATAATTTGGGTATTACAAAACTTTTCTGACGATACTTTGTTTGCCTCAATAAGGATGTTGTTCGGGTCCCCTCCATAACATCTGATCCTCTGCGGGTATTTACCCTATTGCAGTTTTTTGTTGTTCCTTTGATTTACGATAATTTTCGTTATATGGTTATATGACAAATACTGATTACCGTTATATTTGTTGGAATAATATATCAAGTGTGAGTAAGTGGGAAATAATCCCACATTGGATAGAAATATGGAGACTTGAGCATATATAAGTGGGAGAACCCACTCACCTATCACCTTAAGGTTTTAGGTGGATAAGTGGTGTATCTCTCTCAAAGGTGCTTGTTCCTACACTATGCATTAATGCTCATAATAATCTCCCCCCTAACAATGGTATCATGGGCCTTTGGTTCGAGAAAGGGACCGAAAGGAACTTGTATCAAAATTCCCCCAAGAAGTGGTGCGTGTTGGAATAATATATCAAGTGTGAATAAGTGGGGAAATAGTCCCACATTGGATAGAAATGTGGAGACTTGAGCATATATAAGTGGGAGAACCCACTCACCTATCACCTTAAGGTTTTAGGTGGAGAAGTGGTGTGTCTCTCTCAAAGGTGCTTATTCCTACACTATGCATCAATGCTCCTAATAATATCCCTCCAACAATATTATGCTTAGATTAAGGAGAGTGTGGATGAGGCCAAGACAAGTGAGCCTGAAGATTGTGTAAAGGAAATGGTAATTTATGCCTCCCTCCCTGTTTCTGTCTGGGTTTATGTTGTCTGAATAGTATAGAATAAAAACATTTTGTTTGATTCATTGTGTAACGGGATCTCGAGATCACCTCTAAGCATAATCCGGATCCAACGACGCCTATTGGTAAGAGAGACTTTCCAGGGGGATCTACTGAATAAACAACCTCGGAGGAATTCTGTGATGGAGAGCTATCTTCTAACAAGCTTAGGAAGACAATCAAGCATGAGAAAAGTGATTAGTCGTGGATATTTTTTGTTATGAGTCTTCGTATGATTTTAGATTGACTGTGTGATAACAATTATCATTGTTTTCTTTTTATATTTATTTGCCTTTTCGATTTGGAATTGTGATTTTAAAGAATAGTGTGTTGTTAAGTGATGATAAGTTGATGTTAACTCAATTTCCTGTATCGGGTTTACGTTAAATTATTGCGAATTTATTATTCTGTTATTACATTATAGAATACAATTGAAGCTATTCTCCCTTAACTCATGATCTCTTCTTCAAATTTATGTCTTTGTGACTTTGATGTTTTATAATTATCCATGTTTGCTGCATGTAACTGTTAATAGTGTAAGATTGAAATTTTGATAGCACCATGAGAATGTATTGGTTGCATTTGGGAAAATAAATTTACAACAAGATTACAATAATATCTTTACAGCAAACTCTGCTTTCATTTTATTGCATTGTTGTACAGCTGCGATAAAGTGTGGTAATACAATGTAAATAGTTCTGAGATGATTCCAATTGAAGTAACATGTGTTGTTGTGTTTTATCACTTTATGCTATATTTTGGTATCTAAAATACAATTCTAGCTGAGGTAGCATGTATTGTTGCAAACTTGCAATTAACATATAAGACTTATGGCAGTTAAAAATTATCTGTGTTTGCACGTTAAACTGTAATGAAATAGTATTAATGATATAAATAAGAATTATATATTTTTGTTACTATTTCAATTTAACATTATTTCTTTAATTCAAACTATTCCATTTTATTGATTTATACTCATTGCACAAACTAATAATGCAAAATTTAATTTTTACAAATATATAATTCATACATAATATCATAGCATTTAATTATTTTTTCTTTCTAAATAAAATCCGCTTAGCTCAATAAGAGTGTGAGACCGGTACCCGCGTGAACGCACAGGTATCATACTAGTTTGTATATATGTTAGGTCTACATTAGGATTAGGGTTAATCCATGGGCCATTGGGCCCAGTGTTTCTTCACTTTTATACCACCTTGATTTCTAATTGTATCCCTAATTTTATTTAGTCTTCTCCATTTAATTTAATTAAGTTATTTATTTTCTATTTTATTTATTTATGTTTTTTAATGCCTGGTTTTGATTTTATTGTAAAAATTATTTAAAAAAAAAACAAGAAGCATGTTTGTTCATTAGTAGTTCCTTAATTAATCAAAAATACAAAAAATATGCATCTTTTAAAATTAACTAATTTGTACATATTTTCTAAGCTTTTCCGACTAATTCAAATATCATGATTTATTTGTACATAATTTATGCTTAATTTCTCGATTAGAATCAAATAAAATATTTTGTAAATCAAATTAATTCTAACATTTTTATAAATAATAGGATAGGTGAATTTTACATCCATCATATCCTCGAATAATCGATTGGCCGGCTTAACGCCTTACTAATTAATTATCCAAATCAAAACCTCTAAAATTCACAAATAAATCAAATCAATTTTTTCGTCCCGCACGATTTAATTCCAATAAAGATCAACTCTTTTCCAACCAACCAAACATACTTCTAACTACATAGGACTCTGATTTCTCTTATCCTCCGATGAGAGATATGTAGACACACGATTGTGATACCAAGACAAGTCTACTAATAATTTTTTCCCATTTTAACCATTTCATAGATATTTTTACCGTGTAAATAAATAAATAAATAAAGCAGATTAAGAAAGAATAAAGTGAACACATCTAGCAACCTTAAGATTAGAGAAGATTCTCCTTGAGTACAAGGGAGGCGAGGGGTGCCTAACACATTCCTCTCGCTTAATTGACTTCCAACCCTTAACTAGGTCACAAAGACCGCCTTATCCATATTTTTAGGATTTCCCCATTAGTTCCCTGTCCTTAGGACAAATAAATAATGATGGTGACTTCATTGAATTTTACCAACTGTGACAGTTGGTGACTTCACTAGGAACACCTCTAAAGAGAGTCTCGCTACCCTTTAGTCTTAGAGTTTCTGCTTTTGCTTTATGTGTTTCTATTTTTTTCTTGCTTTTTATTTTTCTGGTTTCATCTATTTCATTTATATACTTGTGGGTTACTTTGGGAATTATTTGTGTGGGATTCTTCATGCCCAAGCTCCTAAAAAAAATCTTAAATAAGGGGTTGTCTATTGGCCAATAGAGTTTAACATCTCTATGAGTTTTTAAGACAACTCCGCTTAGAGTGGATTAAATTCAAGGAAGTATCTTTTAAGGGATAGCCTCTCTTGAAAATAGGATTTTGGATTTAATCAATGACTCTGGGAACCTTACCCAAAAAATAAATTCTCATGGTGAGACTTTGTACGACCTACAAGACGAAAGTCTTGGTCTATGCATAGGCTTCTCTTAAGGGAGGCCTTTGTGCATTTGCCTTTACGTGTTACTCTTGACACCCTTTAAGAGACACCCTTGTGAGGGGTTGGGTAGAAAAGACTTGGAACTTTTTTAGGAACTCTCTTGCAGATTGTTTTCAAATGCATTTGATTTTCCTCTACCGTCACCGGTATTTGAGTTTCTTCCAAGATTAAATTGATTCCGGTTGATTTTGGTAGACGGTATTTGAGTTTCTTCCAAGATCAAATTGATTCCGGTTGATTTTGGTAGAACAATCAATTTGTGATTGAGATCACTTGGTCGCATCACTACTTCTAAGGTTTGTTGAATCTCTATAACATGTGACACATAACAATCATGTTTGTCTCTGGGTATGGACGATTTCAGCGCAACGATCGATAATTCAGAAGCAACAATTTCCATTTGCACTATGCCATGCATTCTTCTAAGCACCTATATGACTTTATTGTATGATTCATTGTTACGTTGATCAATTTCTCGAAATGATTTGCGTATGAGAGAAAGGGAATTCGTGAATGAAATGGAGTTCGAAGATGAAAGTACTAATGATAGAAAAGGATAAATTAATAGGTTCGAAGATGAAAGTACTAATGATAGAAAAGGATAAATTAATAGGTCAAATTATTCCAATTCGAGAAAGAATATGTCTCCATTAGAAAGAGAGAAAGACTAGAATTCTTTTATAAATAATTTTCTTCATCCCATTTTACATATACAAAATATATAATAAGTACCTATAAGAGATGAGGTAGTTTATAAACCAATTCTCAACTCTCTAAAACTACTAATAACTACCTATATTTAAATACATAATAATAATTTATATTATATATTAGATATAAAATACATAATTAATAATTTATTTATATGCGTATCAATGCTAAAGTTAAAAATTTAAATTCTAAACATTACAGAAAATAATTTTTAATGGCAATTGAAAAAATATAGATAATTTAAATGGAGAGAATTTCATCTAATATAAGTGTTTTTTAATATATCGTTTTCTACAGAATTATTATAATCCAAAACTAGGGTGAAAATAGAGTGGTTTATATACATATATAGAAACTAACCTATTAATTAGGAACAAAATAACATAAACTAACAAAGTATGAATCAGTCAAATACGACTAATTCATGTAGCTATTATGGTTGCGCTAACAAAAGATCATAGTTTGAGTAAGACCTTTACCATGAACAAATTCATCAAATTGCTGAGTAAAATTAGTACACTAAAATCAATAGAAAACTTTAATAATTAAATGCAAGCTAAAATAAAAACATTGTTAATTGCATGCAATTATATCAAATTTGAGCACTTCATAAACTGTAGGCCAGGCGCTTTACCGGTAACACCGAAACGGGAGGAGGCGGCGGTGTTGATGCCCTATTCGAGCCCGACGCTTTCTTGGATGATGAGCCCTTCTCCAATCTAGACAACACTTTTTTACTTGATGTTTTCTTCACCGGCGCGATGAAGACGATCTTTCTCTTGCCTTTTCTTTCTTCCATAGCCTTGTTATATATTGATGATGCATGCTTAATTTGGTGGAATTCTTGTGGGCTATAAAAGTATGGTGCAACATATGCTAATAATCCATCCATGTAATGAGGTGTGAAATGTTTTGGAGATTTTTTCTTACGTGAATCCACATCTGAAATGCTATCCATCAATTTCCATAGTTGTTTCTTGTTCCTCATGATCAGTTTTGGAGCAATATATGATTATAAACTTGAGAAAGAAACTGGAGAGAGAGTAATGAACATGGTTAATGATTAAAGAGAAGTAATGTGTGGAGAATGAAATCGTAAGTATATATATATGGTGACAAAGTAAATTAGGGTTTCTTGAAATAATGTTTAGTTAAGAGTTGTGGTGAAAATAATGAGTCAAATTAAAAAAAGATAAAAAAATAAATTTGTAAGAAATATAAGTCTAAAAAGGGTTCAAAATTTAATGTTGACCCTTCAAAAGTAAATTTGGTATAGTAAGTAAGAACACAACAAATGAAATATATATATATATATATATATATATATATATATATATATATATATATATATATATATATATATATATATATATATATATATATATATATAATGAAAAGTTGGAGGCGAAGTGAGTACAGTGTGTTTGTGTTTGGTTTAGAGTTTGTAAAATTGGTTATGATATTTTTGGGTTCGTTGCTTTTGCAATGTTTATTTGTATGACACTGATTAGCTATGTGATTTTCACATCATAAATTAATTTAAAAAAAAAAATTAAAATTCCCCCAAATACAAAGATATTATAACATCTATAAATCTAATTTTTATTTATTTTAATTTTAAATGCATTGCGACGTGAATTTTACTTTGTAATGATCATTTTTTACGACATGATTTTCACATGGCAAAAACATAGTTAGAAACCATTTTTTTGTAGTGTGTTAGTGTTGGCTGGAAATTTCGACTAAGGAGAAACTGAGCTGAGTCAATGGTCTGAATATACTTAGAGAATTGTTTGGCTATTTTGTTTGTTAAAAGCCATGAAGATTCGAAATCGAAATTCGTTAAGAGATTGATGGATAGTTTATAATTCGAATTTCAAAATAAAGTTATTATTCGAAACATGGTTTAAGACTTTATACTTCGATCGTTATCAGATTTTATTGGTTTTGGCGCTCAAGACGGATAGCGAAGGGTTTGAATTCGAATATTCATTCTTATCCAGAAGGACGCGTGTAATCTCTTGGATTGTCGAAGACATGCCAACAGAAACGTGGCATTAGTTTGTTAGGAGACCGTTAGGGTTGAAGTTCTATAAATTGTAGCTTTTGTGTTTCGATTTAGTGTGTTCACATCTTTGTACAAAATACTCAAAGTACCAGTGTTCGAGAGAAGAGTTAACGAGAATGTACGTATGATGCACCATATTTTATATTCAATGTCATTTACATTCAATAAAGTTTCTTTACGTTATTTACGTTCTTTACAATTCTCAGTCTAGACTAGTTTATATTTCATCACTTTTATAAAGAAGTTTCACTTCAACGTGCGAAGTGATTCCTTTTGTTTAAAGAGATTATCATCAAAACATGCTTTCTAAATAATTGAACACAATAGTTCTGAGATCAATCTGATCGATCTCGTGAGTAACTGAATCTGTTAAAGGATTTAGAGGATCAACAGTTATTTACCAAATTTCAGGGTAAACAAATTGGCACGCCCAATGGGATTCTGTGTCTCGTATTTAGTTTTTTTCGATAATCTGTGTTTCCTAACTTATTTTGTTGCATGAGATTAAGAAGTGGAAAATTATCCAATATCACAGATCCTAGACCAAAAAGGCAATACAATAGGAAAATGGCTAATCCACCCGTTAGTGATGCACAACAAGTTCCTCCTCCCACAGGAGGGAATACGAGCGCTTCGAATACAACCGAAGCCATGGCAACAAGTCAAGGGACTGCGATTATCCCCTCGACTATAAATACTACAGTCATACCCCCAAATACAAATACTTCAGCCATATTATCAAACACACAAACTGAACCTATTATAATGTCTGTGGCCAGTCAAATTCCACCTGTAATCTCCAGAACTTCAGTAGGAAGTGTCTCTATAACATATACACCAGGGTTCACAATCCCAACATCATATCCAATATATGGCACACCAACTTCGTTCATGGCAGGACTTCAAAATAACACTTCGACATATATGCGTCCTTTAACATCTGCCTTTTCGCCATTACAAGGATCAAGTTCAGGGGTAAACCATATGGCACGAAATAATTTGCAACCAGGATATGTTGCTCAATTACCTCCTATTAACATAAATACGCAGGCAGTCTTGAGGCAACAAATGGATGATAGTAACCATGAAATGGTGAGAGTACTCGCCCAGTAAATGAGTATAATTTTTAACCCTTTAGTTCAAAGCACCACACAGACGAACTTGCAGAATGCCCAAGCAAACCAATAAGTGGCAGCACAAATTAGGCGCCTTGCAGATTTCTTTGGTGCACCTAGAGAACCAACTAGACAACCACAACCTACATGGATAAGGGAGAATCAAGGCATCGTGTTTCAAGAAGAACCAACCATTGGCCAGGCCCAACCAGTGACACACCCAGAAGTCAAAATTCAACAACCAGTTCGAAGGGAAGAACCGCCCAGATTTCAACAGGCTATTCCCAGGGAGGAACCACGAAGAAGGGTAGTCATGGTGAATCAAAACCAAGATGATGACGAAGTTCTCCAAGGATGTCGGTAAGATGATATGGTAGGAAATAATAATCTAGCAGCCATAGTCAAAAGAATCATGGCACGAAATGGAGTAAATATTGGCATGCGAAGGCCAAATTATACATCCCCTTTGTCTGAATATATTCAGCAAACTGAGTTTCCTAGGGGATGGAAAGTGCCAAAATTTACAAAGTTTTCTGGTGACACCATTGAGTCAACCATAGAACATGTTGCTAGATATCTTATAGAAGCAGGGGATATAACAAACAATGAGAATCTAAGGATTAAGTATTTCCCTAGTTCACTAACCAAAAATGCTTTTACTTGGTTTACTACTCTTGCAGCGAATTCCATCCATGATTGGACTCGCTTAGAGAGATTATTTCATGAACAATTTTATGTAGGTCAAACCAAAATCAGCCTGAGCGAATTGGAAAATGTTAAGCGCAAATTCAGCAAGCCTATAGACGATTATCTTAATAGGTTCTATTTGTTGAAGGCAAGATATTTCACATAAGTTCCTGAACACGAGTTGGTCGAAATGGCAGCAAGAGGATTAGACTTCTCTATCAAGAAGAAGTTAGATCCCCATTATCTGAGAGATATGGCACAACTGGTTTACAGGGTTCGACGGGTGGAGCGTTTGAAGATCGAAAAAGCAAGGGCTAACAAAAGCTACGGGAAAGAAAGAGTGGCTTATATCAAAGCCTGCTCAGAGAAAGAGATGTCAAAGATGGTTTTTCAGAGGTTGAAGAACACGAGATAGATCTTGCAAAGTTAAAGCAAGGACCACCATATCCTTGCAAAGTACTAATGCCTGCGAACGGGAAAAATCCCGTTGAACCAGAAAGGAATGACAAATTCCCAAAGAAAACCTATACTTTCGACATCACCAAGTGTGATGAAATATTTGATTTGTTAGTAAAAGATGGCCATATGATAGTGCCCCCCGGTGCTAAAATTCCTCAATTAGAACAACGGAGAAAATGGACTTGATATCATAATTTCTTAGGCCATAAAACCTCACAATGCTATCTTTTCAAGGACTTGATACAGAGTGCTATCAAGAAAGAAAGGCTAAAGTTCAGAGAGAAGCTCAAGAACCTGATGACGGTTGACACAGATCCTCTTCAGATTGTTGAGACAAATTTTGTAGAGCCTGTAGATATCAACATGGTTGATGCTGTTGAAATCGAAGGAGGTCAACTCGACGAAGACAAGGTATATGAAGATACTTAGGGGCTAGCGACTGCTGAGGGTCTCATGGGCCAGGAAGAAGGAAATGCTACTGATGGCAATGCCAAAGTTGCTGGAAAGGCTAAGACTACTAAGGGTCTTAGAGTCAGATTCGAAGATCTTGAGATTGCTGAAGGTCCCAAGTTCGAGGTAAACATGGTGGATCTGAACTAGCTGTCCCCAGAAATGGCGGAGATCGAAAGATGTTTGATGATGGAGAATGATAGGATCCGAACTGGGCACCAAAAAGTAAGCCTGGTCGAGTATTTTTTTCATTGTGATACGAAGAATCCTGAAGGACTAGTGTGTCCTAGGTGTAGCATAATGAATGATCGAGGCGCTGCGGCAACATACCAGAAAGTGTACCAAGAGAGGGCTGGAAACAACTGGAGGAGTGATAAAGAGTTACTGCCATACCCAAAAATGGGAGAAAGCTTGACGGGTTTTCTGGTTCCCTGTCATAAGACAGGATCAGAAGTCTTAATGTGCCCATGGTGTAGCGCTGTTTATGATAGAAAGGAAGTTGAAGCATTTGAGAGAATTCGGTATGCTCAATGCTAGAACAATAGAAGAGTAGCAGGGAGAGGTATGTAACCAATTCAAAAGGAATTCCGAAAAGGGAAGATATCCTACACCCTAAATTGAATCAACAAGTCACCTTTAAGCCACCAGCCAACATCCCAATAGATAAGTGGTTGAAGTCTAGTCAAAGCAAGGGGGGAGGAAAAGGCAAAGGGAAATGGAAGAGTTTTGAGGAAGGTGGCAGATTAGCGTGGGCATATCGAAGGCAGTTCCAATCAATGAAGCAACAAGCCTATGTGTCTGCGAACTATAAGGGGAAAAACCCAATGACAAGGTCCCAATGGCGAAGATACCAGAGGACCAAGAAGGCTAAAAGAGAACTCACAAGCAACGAAGTAGGGGAATCAAGTACGAATCATACTTCGTCTACTGCACTTGTCAAAGAGAAGTCCCCAGCACAAATGAGGTTTTTTTTCCCTAAAAAGAAGGAGGTGTCCATCAAAAGGACTATAAAGGAACCAACTAGCAAAGAACCAACCAATGATGAGGACATGCTTACTGACAACTTCGACTCAAATGGGGAGTCCTCTTTGAATTTCAACTACAATGTAGTTTCTGTACTACCACATGAATATGACCAAGTGACGGAGATAGAAGATTATGAAGAAGTAGATGAATTAGAAATGGTGAAGAAAAAACCTGTGTGCTATT